TATATATTTTTTTATTTTTTTTTGGGGGGGGGGCGATAACAGGTTGCAGCTTTGACCACACCCAACACAAACTAGCCCTTTCCGGTTCTACCAATACCTTTCACGATGTGTCGATTCTTCGTATGTTTATATTAGCAGTTCAATTGGACTTCGTGACATTCAGCAATTAATTTCCTTCGTCCCGTTTGCCTTCTCAGAAACGAGCTCTTCAATTTAAACTCAGTTTAATGTTCCTGTATTTTTTAGGAACTTCCACTAATGCAATGAGCCAAACCTGTTAGTTTCATTCCCTTTTTCTTTCTCTCTCTCTCTCTCTCTCTCTCTCTCTCCTCTCTCTCCCTCTCTCAGTCTCCCCCCTCTCTCTCTCCCTCTTCACTGAAAATTTCCGTCTTCTCCCAATCAGGATTTACGGTGGTTCAAGAAGCATTAAAAACCTTTAGATTAGCCACAGCGACTGTTTGCACAAGCTTATTACCACCGTCTGCACCCAGCCAGACGTCGTGGACAGAAAAAAAGCCCTAGACCAGACCTGGGCGGCTCAGCCCGTTTGCACGTAGTGCACTGGAACAGCAGATTGAGCAGAATGCAAACACAGCTGAAGAAAAAAATGCAAACCTTCACCCCCCCCCCCCCCAACTAAAGGAACCCAACAAACCAAACCCAAAATGAAAGCCTAACCTGAGAACTCAAAACGACATGTTAAAGGCTCAATTCAAATCTCCCAATACATTTATCTGTATTCAGTGAGATTTTCTCTTTTCAGCTTTTCATAATAGAAGATTTGTTCCTTTCAGTAATAAGAGCTACTTTCTTTGTGATAATCAAATCGACATGTATAGTTATTCATGTACCGTTAAAAGTAATTTCAGCACTTCCTTGTCAATGTTTGCACCCTCTCACACAAACGTGCGCCGCTCAATGTCCTAACCATTCACTTTTTCGTCTACCTTCATTGATTTGTCGTGGCATATCTAATCTTTTCAAGTGTTCTCGTTTATCTGTAATTTTTATTTTGGCATTTAAAACGTGGTTACCTGCCCATGACTGCAAGGGAAATGGAGCAATGAAACATACATGTACAAACTACACTTACACAACCACACCCGGGTATTCTCTGAATCTTTTTACATATGTACCCACCCACTTCTGTACAAACGCTAAAACACACACACGCACACACA